ATTCATTTTGATTTGACCAGAGAGGGGGAGAGAGAGAGAGAGAGAGAAAGGGAAAGTGAGAAAGCAAGCCACCAGGTCCAGGACTTGAGTCCAGTGCCCTTAACCACCAAGCCACCTGCTGGCCCCAGTCCCCATAGTCTCCTAAGTGTTATATCCTGTATTGTCTGTTTTATAAATACAAAATAGCTTGCTATATGCATGGATGCTATTAAAAAAGTTACACTATTGGGGACCAGCAGGTGGCGTGGTGGTTAAAGCTCTGGACACTCCTACATGGCCAACCAGGGTTTGAGTCCTGAATCTGGTAGCTTGCTTTCTCACTTCCTCTTTCATTCTCACCCTCTGTCTCTCTCTAGTCAAATTAAAAAATAAATGAATGAATAAATAGAATAAATAATTATTTAAAAAGTTACACTATTAAATAAAAAATTTTAAAAAAAAGGAAAGTTAAGAGATTATCCATTGACCCAGTCATTGCACAAGCATAGGGCACCACTTCACTAAGCTGGGTCCACATGTAGGCCTAGGGTTAGTCCCAGAACCAACCTAGGCAGGCTGGGGATTGTAATGTGATGAGACTGTTAAAAATGTGAAGGATCTCCACATTTACCTCTGTTTCACCCCCTCCATTAAAAAAAAATAAAATAAAAAGATACCCATCATCGCACAGCTAGTAAAAGGCATAACTCGAATTTGAACTAGAATGGTCGGAGCAAACTGGGAATGACTGCTCAAACCATTTCAAATACTGTTTACTTCTTTGCTAGAGGGCACGTGTGTTTGTCAGAGAAAGAGAGAAGGAGAGGAGAAAATACCTGCCCTTTCCCCCATCCACACAGTAATAGTTATGCCATATCCCTTCTCCCCCATCCTGTTGGGTTCTTGGAGTGTGCATGCATGTGTGTCTGGTGTGTTTCTCAAGCCACTGGGTACAGGATTCAAATGGTGTGGTTGGCCATGTGGGATCTGGCTTTCTTAAGTACCAGGAAACAGATCTGGCTGGCATTTCGAATTCTATATAAAAAGCTCAACCTTCCTTCTTGTGGTTTTCCACTTCTGTAGCAGTCTTGTATAACAGCATCTTAGTCACGGCAGTACTTCAGAGGCTTAAAGACAGTGATCATCCTACTAGTCCACAGACTGTCTTTACCCACCTTGGCCTTTCTTCACATATCATTGGTACATAGCTTTTTAAAAAAGAGTGTGTCAGGAATTCTTCTAAATGCTTTAACTTAATCCTTACAAGGCTCCTATGAGATAACTACTGTTATTATTCCTGTTTTATAGATAAAGAGACTCCCCAAGTTCCCACAGTTAGTAAGAGACTGAGCCAGACTTTAATCCATGCAATATGGCTCCAAATCCCCACCTCGAATAACCTCACTTGGCTGCTGCCCCTCAGTCAACAGGCCTTCCTGAGCACAAGGTGTGCACTGGGTAAAAAGATGCAGAGGAGAGACATGGTATTTGTCATCACGGAGGGACAGCCTAGTGCAAGACGCACAAATGAGAAGTAAATAAGAAACATGAAAAATTAGGACAAGTGCTATGGAATAAAAAGTGCTAAGATAAAAGGTATTGGTGTAGTATTGGGTCATTGGAAAAGTCATGATACATTTTTGCATAGAAAATTATGTCATGACTTCCAATGACCCAATAGTTTGTGAAGAGAAAAGTTGTTTTTGCCTTCTTGTCTTTCACCATTCAACAGAGACACTCTGGTCACCATAACACATGTGTGGTGTTTCCCCTACATAAATCAGGTCTCTAGTGGACATCAACTGGTTGTCTGATAATTCAGTTCAATTCTGACTCCATCTACCTAGAAGGAGTGTTAGACTCCCACGGAATAAGGCCTCGGTCCCACCAGACTGCCCCCACCTCATGCCAATCACAAATCCACTGGCTGTAAATTGGGGATTGCCATGTCTCCCTCTTCTGGTTTGATCTGTTTTGCTAGAGTAGTTCACAGAGCCCAGGGAACACATATACCGCTTTGTTATATTAATAAAGTGTATGATAAAGGAGACAAATGGCCAAATGAAGACATGTACAGGGCAAGGCATAGGGGAGGGGCATAATCCCATGCTCTGTCTGGGAGATTCCCCTCCAGAAATTCCCTTGTGTTCAGCAATCTGGATGCTCTCTAAACCCCATACTTCAGGGATTTTTATGGAGCCTTCAACACTTAGCCATGATAGATTATTAACTCGATCTTCAGCCCTTTCCTCTTTCCAGAGAATGGAAAATTCCAAGCTTCTAATCACTGCTGTTTTTCTGGTGACCAGCCCCCATGACCCTACCAAGAATCACCTCTGTAGGAAAAAAGGCATTCCTATCACCAAGAAATCCCAAAGGATTATGAGCTCTGTGTCAGAAACTGGGGTCAAAGAACAAATATTACAACAAGAGATATACTCAGCACTCTTATCACTCAGAAAATTACAAATAAGTTTGGAGCACTGCATTAGAAACTGAGAGCAGAAGCCAAGTATATATTTTTTATTAGTTCAGAAAAACACAGTGGTCAGGCAGGAGACAGAAACCACACAGTAGGTCAAACATGGAAGTTTAATATGGGAATTATTATTATGATTCAATAGTAGCTAGAAGATGCAAGGAAATTCTGGTAGATAACCCGGGACTGAGCAAATGAGCCTAAGGATGCACAGATGTAGTGGGTATTAAGCTCTCATTAGAGAAGAGGTGGTTCAGCA